ACGCCCAGAAAACATTCGGTGCCTTCCCAGGCGACCAAGTTCGGACCCTACCCGCCCCCCATCACGAAGGGTACCTGTTTCTCTCCAGACCCAGCAGCTCCAGGCACAGGCGCGGCTGCGCCTCTCCGACCCAGCTCGGGAAAGACCCGCGTCCCCCGAGAGCGCCTGAGTTTCCTTTTGGCCAGAAAACGAAACCTACGAGAGGCAGCGAAGCCCCGCCCAAGGGGGATTTCGAAAGGCACCGGGCGGAGGCTTCTCGAGTTGCCAGCAGCCAGAGAGGCAACCCGAGTTTCGCAGCCACCTGAACGCTCCCGAATGAGGCACTGGTAGATAAATACCTCTGAAACCCACCCACCCCGTTTTCTCAGACACGCACAGTCCCAAATATCTACTGGCCCCACCGCTGGTTCTCCTGATGGCACCTGGTATTTTTAGCCACTGTGTGACAGAGTGTTGGACTGGATTGGCCTGATCCAACATTGGCTTTTCTTATGTCCTTGCTGGGGATGCCAGCCTGCCGGTGAGACCTGGGGACCCCCTGGAATTACAGCTCATCTTCAGACTGTAGATATTGGTTTCCCTGGAGAAAATGGAAGCTTGGGAGGGTGGGCTCTATCTGACATTGTACCCCAGCCAAAACATTTTTTGGCCAAATGTAGCTGAAGGGTTACATCTTTCAGTGCTGTTTCTGTGCTGTTTTTCTGGCTGCTGAATGTTGTTTTATGCTGTTTTTATGCCTCGCTTGTTTTGCAGCCAACAATTCTTATGCTGTTGTTTTTATGGATGTATTGTATCGTTTTTACTTTGTGGGGCACCTCAAGCTGGTTTCTAGAGAGGCAACAGCTAATTTGCTTTCCAAATAAAATTAAATGAACACACATTTCTGATTTTACACATTTTTCTTAAAATTTCTTTAATTTTTTCTTAGAATGACAGTGTCCATGTCATTCATAATATGCAGCACCAATGGGGAAAAAAAGATTATTTGGTATATCTTTTTTTTTTTAAGCTGACTGGAATAAAATCTTTTTCATCAGGGAGGCGCCACTGGGGTGCCACAACCAATAGGGTGGTTATAGCAACTCACCATACCACAGACGGGAAAAGGACTCACAAAAGAGCCACCTCAGAAGACCTTCTTAATGCCCTGGGAAAAGGGATATATGGAAGATATTTCTTTCCATAAACAGGACCCAGAAACAAACTGGTAACCAATCTTGATCATTTAGTATTGGTGTTGAGTGTTTCTTGCAGCCTGTGCTGGTCAGAATTCTGTCTGCTGCGTTTTATATCATGTTTCCAAAATGTTTTCAAGGACAGCTCCATGTACAGTACATTCAGGAGTCCAGCTGGGAGATTACCAAGGACTGAGAAGGCAAAGTCCTGATCAACAAGACGGCATAGCTGGAACATCAAATTGGCTTGGAAAAAACGCATCCCTGCTCAGTAGTATTCCCAAAGTGTAGATCTGTTCCTTCAGAAGGAGTTCATGCCTTCCGTTTCAGAGTATGCCATTCACACTGAAAAGAATTGGAGTTCCAGGCGTAGCATAGTGAAATCAGCTCTCATTTATTAATTACATCGGAATGATTAAGACAACTTAGCCGGCACGAGGCCGGCTTATATTAGTGCACACATTCACACCCAATACATCCCCAATTTCCCGTGATAGGTTCTGTGTACAGGGCCCCGGTAACGATAGGTTCTATTCAGGATCCTAGCGCTCCCATTGGTTCTCGCTAGGATCCGTGGGGGCTATTGTTCTAGACCCGAAGGTCTGTGAATCCGGTAGACCACATGGCCGGGCGCATGCGGTTGCGGCCATCTTAATACATAACACACACACTCAGTGCTATCATCTCGGTCTTATCTTTACTGCCCTTCGGTTTATTGGCCCCATCCATTCATGGCATTTCAAAATGTCTTATTTACTAATAGAATGTTTGTGACTTGTTTCTTTCTGCATGTTTCTTGGACTTTCTGACCAGTTTCTTGGGTCCTATTCTGGAAACACTGCCCTCTATAGGGAAGCAGCTGAGGTGTTTTTCTCCAGAGGGAGTTCCAGAGAAGAAAGCCTGCGGAACAGTGAAAAGGGCAGTGGGGGAACAGTGGCCATCTTGTGGCCAGGGCCTTTTGTCTGGCACTGCTTATGGCGCATCTCCTGTTTCTGTGAGGAAAAGTTGTTTTTCTGAGTCTGTAAAAAAGAGAGAGTTTGCCAAGCACCCAAACCTTCCTTAGTCCATGATTCAGAGAGACCTTGGGACTACTCAATATATTTTACTAGGAAAAAGGCCCGTTGTGGCAATAAAGACAACGAGTGCTAGGCAGGCCAGCTGGCGGCAGCTCCCCTTGTGTCTTCCCTCCCGCCCCTCGAGACCCCAGGGGGCCAGGCCGCCTGGGCGTGGCCCCTCCCCAAACCCCACCGCCGATGGCTTTCCCTGCCTGGGTGGCTCAGCAGGCAAGCGGGGAGAGGTGGCGTGGGGGCCTCCGGACGCTTTCCCCCTGTCTGGCTTGGCATGCAAGTGGGGAGAGGTGGCGCGGGGGCCTCTGGAGGCCTTTCCCTGCCTGGGCGGCTCGGCGGGCGAGTGGGGAGAGGTGGTGCGGGGGCCTCCAGAGGCCTTCCCCCCCCATCCAGCTTGGCGGGCGAGTGGGGAGAGGTGGCGTGGGGGCCTTTCCCTGCCGGTCCGCCAGGCTCAGGCGACGGCTAGAGCGCCTGTCTCATCCGTCGTCTGGCTGCACGCAGGCCGGCTGGCGACTTGCGCTGGAGCAAGGACGACCGCGGCGGTGAAGGCACAATTGGGTTCCAGTCCCCGGCCGCCAGAGCGTCTGTCCTGTCCACCCGTTGCAAGGAGAGTGAGGCCGAGATGCCACCTCTGTGGGTGGGACCACGGCAAGGGAGGCAGCAACGCAGCTAGTGGAAACTGATGCTCTGTGAGTGACACTCCAGGGCGCCAACCAATTTCGGAGCGTGTCTAATGTTCTGGAAAGTGCCACCTCCAAAATGCTTTTATAATATAGGGAGATTATTGACACTGTTTTCTTCAAAACTCCTACAGACCTTGCTTGTTCTGCTGTTTTTAAAAAGCAGTTTGTTTAAGTGCAGTTCCCGTTTCGAACAGGGCATCCACAACACTGTGGCCATTAACTGAGCCCCAGAGAATAACCACCAGGAGCCCCCCCCCCACTTCTCCCCCAAACAGACAGGAAGGATCCACTGCAAAGCAGTGCTGTGTTCTCCCAACTCTTCCCAGAAGATACCGTGATACAGGGCCTGCTGAAGGTATGTACCCCCCCCCCTCAAAAGCAAGATACATGTATTGTGGGGTGCTAGCCCTTGGTTCACAATTAATGGAAGCAATCTGGAAGGCTGAACCTAGAGATGGGCCTTTTCCATGAAGGCAGTGACTTCACTTCCAGTTGAGTGGGCAAGTGACATCACGGTGTCAGTGACATTCTAGGACTTCCCCAAAACTCTATGTAAATACTATATCCATTTGAGACATTTCTAGTGCATTGCTGACACTGACATCACTTCTACCAGCTTAACAGGAAGTGACGTCACAGCGTCATGCTAAGCCCTCCCCACCCCCGTTCTTCCCTCCTGCTGTTTATTTCCTTCAATTTATATTCACAAAGCAGGGCGGGAGCCAAAAAGCACAGGGCTAATGTGTTCCCTCCTCCCACACGGCTGCTGGCCCAGTCTGATACAAGCCATTCAGTTTAGATCTGGCCCGTGGCAGCCTGGGTCCTAGTGGTCAGGCCTGCCGCCATCCTTGCTGCCCATGGCTAGGACTGAGCCGAACTCCACGCTCCCCTCACTGTGCAGCTCCAAGCAGTTGCTTGGGTGGTTTGGACGAAGAACCAGCCCTTCCACACTTGACATTGTGCCTGTGGGGAGTTCTGTGCCAGGTGTGTGTGTGGCCTGGATTCATGTTAAATTTTGCTGTGCAAAGGGCACTTACCAGGGTTGCCAACCTCCAGGTGGGGCCTGAAGATCTCCTAGAGTTACACCTGGTCTCTAGACCACAGAGATCAGTTCCCCTGGAGAAAATGGGTACTTTGGGGAGTGGGGTCTATGGCATTGTACCCCACTGAGGTCCCTCTCTTCCCTGGGCTTCACCCAATCTCCAGGAATTTCCCAACCTGGGGTTGCAACCCTAGTTTAAGACTTTCTCCATGCCATTTTCCAAAATGACATTGCCCCGGGGAAGGGGAGCTGTACTGTTGGGGTTAGTTTATACTAGTACCTCTCTTCCTGATCCAAATACATTCCAAATGCACCTGAGAATTTATTTATTTATTTATTAATCAAATTTATACCCCGCCCTCCCCCGTAGGGCTCAGGGTGGCTTACAGGGCAAGTTTACAAGCTCCCAGCATGCATTTGGTTTGGCCTCCTATAGCCCAGCATATTGCCAACCTACAGGTGATCTCCCTTGCTTCCTCAAACTCCACCCTCCCCAGGCATTGCCCTCAAATTTCCAGGAATTTCCCAAGCCAGAATAGGTAACCCTAGCTGGTCACCATCCTGAGTTTGTCTGCTGTATTGTGAGTTCCACCCCCCCCCCCCGTGTTAACTGCTGTCACATTACTTGTGAAGAACAAATGCAGATGAAGTGGTGCCCAAGTGGAAGAGAACCAGGATATGATCTGGAAGTAGGGTTGCTGGATCCCCCCCCCCGGCCACCTGCAGGGGATGGGGAGGGGGAGGGTTGTCCACTCTGGACTGGAAAATTCTTTGGGGGTGGAGCCGGGGGACACACAAGGACCTCAGTGGGGTACAATGCCTAGAGTCCAACCTCCAAAGCATCCAGGGGAACTGATCTCTGTAGTCTGGGGATGAGCTGTAATTCCGGGGATCCCCAGGTCCCACCTGGAGGCTGGCATCCCTAGCTGGAAGCCATTATCCCAAATCAAATAATGCAGAATAGCGCAAGAGAACAACCAGAAGGCTTCTATCCTTAATTTTTGAAGGGCAGCAGTGACAGGTGTGGCTCCCCAGGTGGGGGATGTTGATGGGTTATACGCAGTGGAATCCTACAAACACTTTCCTAGGAGCAAGCCCTGTTGAAGAGACTTGAGTAGGCTTCTGAGTAGGCCTCCTTAGGCTTGCTCTCTAAACCTGCCTGCTTATTATTATTTTCTTTTTTTGCCTGCATGCATCCTATAGAGGATGTTTGCAAAACCAGAACATCATGTATGGTTGCCAGCTCCAGGTTGGGAAATAGCTGGATATTTTGGGGGCGGAGCCTGAGGAGGGTGGGGTTTGGGGAGGGACTTCAATGGGGTATAATGCCACAGAGGCCACCTTCTAAAGCAGCCATTTTTTTCCCAGGTGAACTGATCTGTCACCTGAAGATCAGTTGTAATCACAAGAGGTCTCCAGTCATTGCCTGAAGGCTGTCAGCCCTGGCGTCAGGGCCAGAAAAATCTCCTTCCCATTCCACCCACCCCCTGTCTTTGTAGCAGTTTGTAACACCAAGCCTGATAAAGAGGTTGGGTTGCCAGCCTCCAGGTGGTGAAGTCAAGGACAGGAGATCGTGGGACAGGCTGAATTATGTAGGAAAACAACCGTGATATGATAACAAAGTCATATTTAGGGGAAAATATATCTTCTTTAATTATCCAGTGAGTAACAAACCAGTAAAGTTGTTTCCTTTGAAATAAATTGGTCTCAAGTCTTCCTGACGGTACAGTGCTCAATAGACCGTCTCACTCAAGGTTTCATCAGATGCAGAGGTCATTTCGTGGGGGGGGGATCGCAGTTCCCCCGGGTGAGGTATGGGGGGGCGGGGCACATGACGAAGCCCCGCCCCCTGCTTCTGGCCGCCCCGCTTCCGGCCCTCATTCAGCCAGGAGGAGGCAGGAGAAGAGGGAGGGTAAGTTGCTTCCTCCCTGCCTCTCCCCACCCCTGCCTGCCGGGGGCCAGGGAGGGCCTTCGCGGGGCTTCCTTGCACTCCCGCCGGCCTTGCAGGTCCACCACCAGGCCCCTCATGGGGCTCAGCTGTGGAGCTGCAAGGCCGCTGGCGGCGGCTGGGATGGTTGGGGGCGGGGTGTGTGGCCTTATGACATACTTCCGGTGATGTCAGGGGGTGTGGCCTTATGACACACTTCCGGTGATGTCAGGGTGTGTGACATATGCTAATGAGTTATGCTAATGAGTTCCCCTAGCTCTTTTTCTACGAAATGACCCCTGATCAGATGAGACCTTACACCTTTCATATTTTTTCTGCAACTTTCCCCCTTCTCTTTCTTTCTTTCTAGCTTACATATAAACCTTGAGTGAGACGGTCTATTGAGCACTGTACCGTCAGAAAGACTTGAGACCAATTTATTTCAAAGGAAACAACTTTACTGGTTTTTTACTCACTGGATAATTAAAGAAGATATATTTTCCCCTAAACACGACTTTGCTATCATATCACGGTTGTTTTCCTAGGACGAAGTTCAGCCTCCAGGTGGTGGCTGGGGATCTCCTGGGATTACAACTGATCTGCAGGCGACAGATCACCTGGAGAAAATGGCTGCTTTGGAGGGTGGACTCTATGGCATTATACCCCATTAGGGTTGCCAGCTCTAAATTGGGAAATAACTGGAGATTTTGGGGTGCAGCCTGGGAAGGAGGGATTTGGGGAGGGGAGGGATTTTACCAGTGTATAATGCCATAGAGTCCACCCTCCAAAGCAGCCATTTTCTGCAGGGGAATTTATCTTGGTCTTCTGCAGCTCATTTGTAATAGCAGGAGACCTCCAGGGACCACCTGGCGGATGGCAACCCTACATCCATTGAAGTCCCTCCCCTCCCCTCCCCAAACCCTGCCCTCTCCCGGATCCACCCCCCAAATCTCCAGGTATTTCCCATCCTGGACCTGGCAACGCAACCCCATGAAAGAGCTCTGGCGACCGCTTGCGCGCAATGCATCTGAGTGGCTGGTCCTAAGGAAACGTACTCCACGGATTTTGGTCTTGCCGTTCAAGGGCACCGACGCTCCCGAAGCATCCTCTAGGGGGAGCAGCCGAGCACACATCCCTGCTCAGACGCCCCACCGTCGCACTACAACTCCCGCCTTGCCTCGCGGCGCCGGTCTCTCCGCCAGGGCGCGAGAGGAGCGGGCCTCGCGAAGCCTGCTGGGAGCCAGCGAGCGAGCGGGCGGGCCGGCGGCGGGGGGGGGAAGGTGGCCGAGTGGGCGCCCTTCCCTGCTGCCGCCTCCTCGTCCTCCTCGTCCTCCTCGTCGTCCATTCATTGCCGACCCGGCCTCTCCGCCGGCCCTGCCGCCGCCGCCATGGAGGCGCTGATCCCGGTCATCAACAAGCTGCAAGACGTCTTCAACACGGTGGGCACCGACATCATCCAGCTGCCCCAGATCGTGGTGGTCGGGACGCAGGTGAGGCGGGCGGGGCCCCCGCCCCCA